CGCATCAAACACGCCATTTTGGGAAATAATAAAAATGCAATTTGTTTTCTTGAAGGCGTATAAAATTCGTTATATGAAAATAAACATATCAGCGGATGGTTTCTATAGGGCAATATACAAATTATATTCCCCGGTGGCCTACCAAAGCAACCATTTTTTAAGGAAACGATTTTTGGAGGAATTTACTATAATTTGTCGACAATATGACCTACTTCATTTTTCTTCAGGTATCACATACTTGTCACATTTAAACTTAGGTAGCAGAGGTTTGCAACGAGTATGAATAATTCAATCATATTCGATTTCTTACATGATTTTTATACCCAACGCCACATAGAGGGTGAGATAAAAAACTGCAACAAAGTCAAACGCCATAATTTTTACAGTTTTTTAATTTAATTTTATTGAATGAATGCAAAAAATGTCGGAAACAGCATCAAATTTTAGAATAAGTTTAGATTTGTTCGAATTGGTCACCTTTGGCACGAATTATGGCTTTCATTTCGGCCAATGAAACCGTCACATGCTGCCCGAATGCTTTTCTTCGGTATTTTGGCCCATTCCCGGCGAAGCGCTTGCTTGAGGTGATCGACACTTTGGTATTTTTTAGTGCCAACCTTGCTTTCCAAAATACTCCAGACACAATAGTCCAACGGATTGGTATCCGGAGATTTTGGTGGCCATTGTGCGCTGGAAATGAAGCGAGGAACCTCATTTTGTAAAAATTCTTGTGTGGCGCGTTCTGTTGGAATATCCAAGGTCTGTGGCCAAAATGGTTGCCTGCCCAAGGCTTTAATACACCCTCCAGAATATTAATACGAGCGAAGAGCGACCATCGGCAGTTATGGCGCCCCCCATCATCACCATGGCCGGCGCTTGAGTTCTTGTGGCCAACCGAAGTTGCACATTTTCACCTGACCTCTTTGGCAAGAAAACACGATAATTTTGTTTGTTTACAAACTGCTGGACAACGAATATATTCTCATCGGAGAGAACCAAACTCGGCAGTTTAGCACTTTCGACCAAGCGAAGCAACTCTATAGCTCTTTTGAGTTCATTTTCTTTCTGTTGCGGTGTAAGTTCTTGAACTTTTTCGAATTTTAATGGCTTTACCCCGAGCTCATTTTTCAATATTTGCCCAATGGAATATTGCGATAGGTTCAGCTCACGAGACATTTTTCGGCCACTGCGACGCAGGTTTTAATAAAGTCGCTTTTTTACTTTTCGAACCATTTCTGCTGATGTTGCTGTTGTCTTCCGTCCACCTCCTTGACGTCGGCCTACGCTACCAGACACAAAACATTTAATCACATTAAAGTGCTGGAGTGTTCTAACGATAGCCACTTGTGGTTTTCCAGCCAAATATAAAGAAATCACACTATCACGCTTGAATTCCATCACGAATAACTTTTTTTCTGGAGAATTCCCATCAAAATGCTTTTGTACGCTTGTAAACAATATAATGAGCTGTCACCGGAATAATTTTAACAGCTGTCGGACGAGTGGCTTAGAAATGGCAGTAATCTGATGTAGGTTGCAGTTATTTCATCTCACCCTGTATAATAATACATATTTTAAAAAAGAGACCAACAAGACCCATTTTTGACTCGGTGGAGGATTCAAAATTTCCACTGAAATTCTCGTAATCGTCATTATCTCTAATTCTCGTACTCGTCGTTATCAGTAATATTGTCGAATGTATAAAGCAAGAATTTCAAGAAAAATGTCATTATTTTTCGTTGATGCATTAATTTTGCCCAGATTGATTTTCTTTGAATGTTTAGAGGCCAAATGTTTCGAAAAAAAAATCTTCTGTTTTTATTTATGTGACAAGCAGAAGATACATATCTTAAATTTCATCAAGACGCAGTAGCCAATTTTTGTATATTTTTTCGTTTTTTGTTGATTTTGCAAAAGATACATTCAGGGATGCCTTTCATTCAAATTCGAAAAAGAATTCGTATTGAAAATCGCTACAATACGTATTCAGTGGCTTTTTTTCTGCTTCATCTTCTGTGGCATAGAATGTTGAAAACAATTTGTTGTTATTTTTAAAGATCATTGACATTGTTCCACTTATGAGTAGAACACCTTCACGCCCTCCCAATGGGAACGCATGTATGTACATATGTATGTATTTATGTGTACATACATAAGTGTGCGCCGTCTAGCTATTGAAATTATTTTTGTTGTTGTTGTATTTTTATTTAAATTCAACTGAAAAATAATTGTAGCAAATAATCAAACAAACAAAAAACACAAAACAGACCCCCTCTAGCAGCGAGCCACAAGTCCCGATACTTAGCCTAAGTGAACATAAGTGAAAAATTCCATCGGCCAGAGAAAAGCCATTTTTTTGAATTGGCAAACGGGGAGAGTATGTGTGCGGGTGTGATTTCCCCCGTAGCATGATAGACACTGTCATGTCTTTTTTTCAGCACACACATGTGTGTGAACATTTTGCCAAATAATTTATGCTTTCTTTTTTATTGGTCCCGAAGTCGAATTAATGGGAATCTAAAAATAAATTTGACGGAAAATATGCTCAGCATTCATGATAAGACTAATGATGGGTCAATTCGGTGGTGGCCATACTATTTTAATTGGAACATACATACATATACAAACTGACCCAGTTAGCAACTATGGGTGGTTCATTTTAAAAAATAATCGCCTAAGGGAACGCCTTGCTAATCGTCTGTCGATACACCTTCCAAATCTTCTGTGAGAAGTGCCTTTCAAGACGTCTGTGGAGACGCTCTTCATGGTTACAAAATGAGGTTCCTCGCTTTATTTCCAGCGCACAATGGCCACCAAAATCTCCGGATACCAAACCGTTGGACTATTGTGTCTGGAGTATTTTGGAAAGCAAAGCTGGCACTAAAAATAAACAAAGTGTCAATTACCTCAAGCAAGCGTTTCGCCGGGAATGGTCCAAAATACCGCAGAGCAACATTCGTTCAGCGTGTGACGGTTTCATTGGCCATTTGAAGGCCATAATTCGTGCCAAAGGTGACCAATTCGAACAAATCTAAACTAATTCTAAAATTGGATGCTATTTCCGATATTTTTTGCTTTTATTCATTCAATTTTGAAAAAAGTTGTAAAAATTATGGCGTTTGACTTTGTTGCAGTTTTTAACTTTTTATCTCACCCTGTATAGACGAATTTAACGGCAGACGTCTTTCATGGCGTCTATGGAAAACGCCTTCCATGGCGTCTAGGGAAGACGCCTTTCATGGCGTCTAGGGAAGAGCGTTTCATGGCGTCTATGGCAGACGCCTTTCATGGCGTCTATGGCAGACGCCTTTCATTGCGTCTATGGCAGACGCCTTGCATGGCGTCTATGGCGACGCCCTTCATGGCGTCTATAGAGACGCCTTTCATGGCGTCTATAGACTCCGTGGAAGGTATCTCTTCCTGGGAGTCTTTAGAGAGACCTTTCATGGCATAGGGAAGTCGCTTTTCATGACGTCTTTAGAGACGCCTTTCATCCCGTCTATAGAGGCGCCTTTTATGGCTTCTCTAGAGACGCCTTTTATGGATTCTCTGGAGACGCCCTTTATGACTTCTCTAGAGAGGACTTTCAAGGCTTCTCTAAAGAGGCCTTTCTTGACCAGCATAAAATTCTATGTCGATTAAGCGATGTCCATTCGTCTGCGGAAATCACTCTAGCTTCCGAACGAAATGAAGTAAGTTGGGACTTTTGGTATTGAAAAAGGGGCCATGTAGGTCCACGTTTTAGTATAGCCCCCAAATAACGGTGCCTCCCGATATTCGGTATTTTGATGATTTTAGCGACATTATTTACCGAAAATGTTACTGATTTGGTATTTGAAGTTCATAATGGATACTACAGCCTGTGACAGAAAATTGTCCGTGCAGGTCCACGCCTTCGTATAGCCCCCATTTAACGGCACCTCCCGATATTCGGAATTGTTTCAAATTTAGTTTTTTTAAGTTCGTAATGGATACTACAGCTTATGACAGAAAATTGTCAGTGTAGGTCAACGTCTTCGTATAGCCCCCACATAACGGTACCTCCCGATATTCGGTATTTTGGTGATTTTATCGACATTATTCATCGGAATTGTTTAAAATTTAATATTTGAAGTTCGTAATGGATACTACAGCTTATGACAGAAAATTGTCTGTACAGGTCCACGTCTTCGTATAGCCCTCATATAATGGCACCTCCCCATTTTCGGTATTTCTGTGATTTAAGCAACATTATTTACCGAAAATGTTTCAAATTTGATATTTGAAGTTCATAATGGATACTACAGCCTATGACGGAAAATTATCCGGGCAGGTCCACGTCTTCGTATAGCCCTCATATAATGGTACCTCCCGATATTCGATATTTTGATGATTTTAGCGACATTATTCACCGATTTTTTTTAAAGTTTCGCATTTGAATATTGTAATCGCTTATGACAAAACTTGCCTATGCAGATCCACGTCGTCGTATAGACCCTAATATAACGGCTACATTCGGTATTTTTAAGGTTTGAACAGAACTTTTAACGGATTTTATATTTTTGAAAATACCAAATTTGTTCAAAATTGTGGAGGTTATTCGGCCGGGCCGAACTTGCAGCTTTTTTGTTCCAAAATTTCCAACTTAAATGACTAACCCTACATCCCATTATGGTGGCCATTAAAATGATTAATCACCGCCCATACTTCAGTTTTCGCAGTAAAATATTTCAATTCCAAGCATCATCCAGTGAACTTGAACTACACCCAGACAGTTCAATTACCCAATTTGTCTGTCACAGAGCAACCAACAACAAACACAAACCGAAATAAGTGAAGAAAATGACATTCTCCTTTACGCACAACAACAACATCAAAACTGGCACTGAACGGATTTCTCCCACAACCAAAAATCAACTGAAATGTCAATTTCAATGTCTTCTGTGTTGTCTGTCAGCATTCAGTTCCTACTGATTTCAACCGAATCCACAGAAAAAAAGTGAAGAAAAACTAAATCTTCGTCATTTGCGATTTGTATCGCGCATTTGTTGTTTATGGTTTATTAAATCAGATTGGCATATTTTGCGTGTTTGTGTCAGATGATGATTATAAACAATTGTTGTATTTTTAAATTTATGACGCTTTTAACATCTAAATGGAATTCCATTGTTTATTTGTTTGGTATTGATGTGAAATAAAAAAAAAATAAAATTAAAAAAATAAATATCATAACAAATATTCTTGGGAACGATTAGCCAGCGAGCATTTCCTCAAATAGATTGGTGGCATTATCGCGTATGTGTTCAATCTGTTGATAGAAGTTATCGGGTGGCCAGTTGTATTCTTCGATTTCTTCCTGGCACATGAACTGCAACGAGGAACAATACTTTTCGGGCCAGGCTTCATAGACTTGGAATAAAATAAAGAAATAATTAGGATTTTGAATTTAAAACAAGTAGAAAAAGCCGTAAGTTCGGCCGAGCCGAACTTTGAATACCCTCCACTATTTGGAACGAATTTGGCAATTCTCAGGAACAAAAAAATCCCTTAAAAAATTCTGTTAATATCTTGTAGCTAAAATCATAAAAAATGTCGCTAAAATCATAAAAATAAGGAATATAGGGAGGTACCCGTCCGTATATGGGGGCTATACGAAGACGTGGACCTGCACAGACAATTTTCTGTCATAGGCTGTAGTATCCACTACGGACTTCAAATACCAAATTTGAAATAATTCAGGTGAACAATGTCGCTAAAATCATCACAGTATCGAATATCGGGAGGTACCGTTATATGGAGGCTATATGAAGATGTGGACCTGCACAGACAATTTTCTGTTGTATGTTGTAATATCCACAAGAACATCGTATACCAAATTTTAAACAATTCCGGTGAATAATGTCGCTAAAATCATCAAAATACCGAATATCGGGAGGTACCGTTATATGGGGGCTATACGACGACATGGACCTGCACAGACAATTTTCTATCGTAGGCTGTAGTATCTATTTCGAACTTTAAATGCCAAATTTGAAATAATTCCGGTTAATTATGTCGCCAAAATCAACAAAGTACCGAATATCGGGAGGTACAGTTATATGGGGGCTATACGAAGACGTGGACCAGCACAGGCAATTTTCTGTCTTAGGCTGAAGTATCCATTACAAACTTCAAATGCCAAATTTGAAACAATTTCGCTGAATAATGTCGCTAAAATAATTAAAATACCGAATATCGGGAGGCACAGTTACATGGGGGCTATATCAAAACGTGGACCTACATGGCCCATTTTCAATACCAAAAGTAGACATAATATACAATTGAGTAAAATTTTATCAATCTACTTCAATTCGTTCAAAAGCTAGAGTGACTTCGACAGACGGACGGACATCGCTACATCGACATAGAATTTTATGCTGATCAGGAATAGATATACTTTGTGGGTTCTAAAATGTATATTTCGAGGTGTTACAAACGGAATGACAAACTTAAGATACCCTTCATACTATGGTGGAGGATATAAAAATATTGCCTTACGCTTACCCATTTCATTTTTACACGCCGAAATTTCCATATCACAGTTGCTTTGAAAATGTCGAAAACATCCTCTCTCGGTATCCAAATAGCATAGATTTTGAACTTCTCGCCGGCAGGTCTTGCGTATGCGTTCTTTGCAATCATTACTGGCCGGCGCCACACATTTGTATGAGAGCACACTTAAAAATACTATAATTTGAAAATTTTATTTTTTTTTTTCAAATATTTTTTATTATCTATTATTTTTGGTTTTGTATCCTACCCAACAACGCCATACTTTTGCCGAACATTTTCTGCGTCCATTTGATTTGAAACTAAATTGTATCTTGTTTCTGGTTTTTGGGTATTGCCGCGAAAATAGTATCCGCTATGTGCTTGGAAGTATGTTGTATATTATTTGTTCATGATATTGAACCCTATTCCGGGCCACAATGTATGTAAATATTGAACACATGTGTCTTGCAGATTATTGTTTGTTATATTAGAGTGGATGTTCGAAAAAACCAAATATATTTCGGGGGATGGATGTGAAAAAATCTTATATTTGGTTTCAGCCTTTCTTAACGAAAATTAATAAAAAAAATTAAAGAGTACCAAAGGATTTGCAAACACCTATAGAGCATATTCGACTACAGGTACAGTTTGACCCTAGTTTACTAGGGCGATGTTATCTTTGAAAATTTTAACGGCTTGACTCATCTTCACTTATATACAGGGTGAGATAAAAAATACTGCAACAAAGCCAAACTCCATAATTTATAATTTTATTTTAAATTTTATTGAAGGAATGCAAAAAATGTCGGAAATAGCATTAAATATTAGATTATGTTTAGATTTGTTCGAATTGGTCACCTTTGCGACGAATTATGGCTTTCAAACGGCCAATGAAGCCGTCGCACGCTGCCCGAATGTTACTCTGCGGTATTTTGGACCATTCTCAGCGAAGCGCTTGCTTGAGGTGATCGACACTTTGGTATTTTTTAGTGCCAACCTTGCCTTCCAAAATACTCCAGACACAATAGTCCAACGGATTGGTATCCGGAGATTTTGGTGGTCATTGTGCGCTGGAAATGAAGCGAGCAACCTAATTTTGTAACAATTTTCGAGTCGCGCGTGCCGAGTCCGATGGTGCTGAGTCCTGTTAGAATGTCCAAGGTCTGCGGCCAAAATGTTTGCGTGTCCAAGGCTTTAAACCTCCAGAATATTTTGGCGATAATATTCGGCATTTATTCTGATGCCACGGTCGATAAATACGAGCGGAGAGCGACCATTGGCTGTTATGGCGGCCCACACAATCACAATGGCTGGCGGTTGAGTTCTGGTGGCCAACCGAAGGTGCACATTTTCAGCTGACCTCTTTGGCAAGTGAAAACGATCAGCTTTTATGTTTACAAACTGCTGGACAAAGAATATTTTCCCATCGGAGAAAACCAAATTCGGCAGTTCACCACTTTCGGCCAAGCGAAGCAACTTTTTAGCTCTTTTGAGTGTACTTTCTTTTGTGGTGCGGTGTAAGCTCTTGCACTTTTTGAAAATTCAATGGCTTTACCCCCAGCTCATTTGTTAATATTTGCCGAATAGAATATTGCGATATGTTCCGCTCACGAGCCATTTTTCGGTCACTGCTACGCGGGTTTCGATCAAGTAGCTTCTTTACTTTTCGAACCATTTCTGCTGGTGTTGGTGCTTTCTTCCGTCCACTTCCTTGACGTCGGGCTACGCTACCAGTATCACGGTAACGAGCGATGTTTCGAGACACAACAGATTTATTCACATTTAAATGCTGAGCTGGTCTAACGGTAGCCACTTGTGGTTTTCCAGCCAAATATAAAGAAATCACACTATCACGCTCGAATTCCATCACGAATTACTTTTTTTTTGGAATATTCTCAACAAAATGCTTTTGTGCGCTTGTAACCAGTGACCTGTCACTGGAATAATTTTAGCAGCTGTCGGACGAGTGGCTTAGAAATGCCAGCAGTCTGAAGTTGTTGCAGATTTTTCATATCATCCTGTATATGGTGAAGGGATAGAGAATAAATTCTGAATTTTGATATTTAGATTACCGATGGTATATAAGATCCAGCAATGGCTTCGAATTTTAGACTCTAGGTCTATTTGGACCAAATCAGTTTCAGGATATTTGTAGTCGATCGAGCGATGTCCGTTCGTACGTATGTCTGTCAGTTTGGCTAGTGCGCCGATAACTCTTGAAGAGAGTATCCTATTTAGTCCAAACTTGGTACATCGAAATATTATTATGAAACTTAAATCGAGATCGGAGATGGTATACATCGGACCATTTCTTCTAGTACCTCCCTCATAAAAGTTAGAAATTTTCAAAAAAAAAAATACTGCACAGAAAGTTAAACGATAATTCGATTTTGCTCCAAATTTGTATATCCTACTATTTGCATAAGAGCTAAGTAAGGTACGAAAATGGAAAATATCGGTCCACTCCATAAGGTACCTCTGCCGCAAATGGTCAAATTTTTGAATAATTATAAGTTTTAGAAAATGTGATGTAAGCGATTGCCTTGAAATTACACACATCACAATATTTTTATTAACCCAGGGTCTGGTGTGAAGATGCCCTATGTCGGTTTACTCCTTCTGGTAGCTCCCCCAGAAAGGGTACAAATTTTGAATATCCATAAAGTTCATAAAACGCGAAATGACCATCCGATTCCATTCAAACTTGACACATCTTGATATTTCTATCAACACAAGATCTGTTATAAAAATGATATATATCGGATCATTCCTTCTGGTACCTCCCCCACAGGGGACAAAGATTTGAATAACCAATACAATCATAAAATCCGAATTAGGCATCTGGTTCACATTACATTTCTACTAATACATTATTTCTGCTGTGAAGATGGGATATATCGGTCCACTCTTTCTGATATCTCCCCCATACCAATATTTTTCATCGGTATTAGATGCAGCATGAAAATGGAATGCTTCGGTCGACAATATCAGGTACCTCATGCACATTTGGCACGTCGCAATATTCATATCACAGTTATTTAGGTCCGATACGAAATGAGCTATATTGGTGCATTCCTACTCTATATATTTAAATAATTGAATATTGCTGGAGGGTATACATCTATATTATTGGCCCTAACTATAAGAAAAATCAGAAAATTCCATAAAAAATTCTGAAGAAGTTTTGGATAGCATTTCAAATTACCATAAATGCATACCTCATATTAGAATTTGTTTCAATTGAGGTCATCATTCCGTCGGGAATTGTTGTGAGAAACAATCTCACAGACATTTTGTCCCAAATTTTTGCTTGCTAAGTCTAAAAACCGTCTCAGTTCACATTTCACAGAGCTCTGAGTACTAATTAAGCACCTCAAAATAGATTTGCATAAATGTTTTATTTTCCTAGATCCACCCCAATATACACACAATATGTATTTAATAAATTAGAAAACTACTCATTTCCGAGTACTCGTGTGATATTTACAAAATCTGTTTCTTGTTCTTTTGCCTCTTTGAGAAATGTCTGTTTTCGGCAAACAGACTTTGTTGATGGGGTTTTTATGAGGTTTCTTCTAATGACGCCGCCGCCTTCGACACCTACAAGTCAACACGTAATCATTTTTTGTATGTCACGTCAAAAAAAAAACACATTGTGTGTGGACACTTGTTACAATGTGACAAAATCATTTTAAATAATCACTTTCAATGGTAAAAAAAGAGAGAGAGAAAGAGGTGTTAAATGGTTATTGCAAGGGTTTCAGGGCAGGCGACCATGAATCAAATTAAGCGCGTTTGTGGCAAAAATAAATACACATTGTCAAAGACTCTTTGGAAATCTTCTGATTATAGAAATCGTCTAAAAAATACTACCATATATTGGTAAAAAAAATTAAATACACTTTTTCACCTTTAAGACTTATTTAAAAAAGGCACAAATTTAGTCTTTTATAGGATTTCCTTTTTTGTTCTGCTATGAAATGACTTTTCTGATTTTTTATAAAAACTCTATGGAGTTTTATAAAAATTTTAGTTTTGTTTTTTTAAAGAAATCTGTGTGGTATTTTTGAAAAGGGCGTTTTGATCTTAGAAAATATTTTTTAGTTTTCCATTCGATCAAAACTTTTAAGCAACTTTTCGCGTAAATGAAAAACGGATTCATAATTCTTCCAAAAAGAGAGTATAATCATGGAATACCGGCAGAAATGTGGCGATATTTGACCCTTCGTTATTGATATCGGCTTTTCTGGAAACTCAACTTTTGAACGAACAAAAATATTTTTTTTTTCAATTTTTATTTCTTAAAAATCAATTTAATAATTGTTTAGCAATTAAAGTTGAAAGACCAGGCTAAGATTTTTTTTCATTTGAACGTTGTCAATAATAAAGGGGAATTTTTTAGCTATTTTGTTTTTGGCAACACTGGTATAAACAGCTCACGCACGTTTCGTGTTTTGTTTCACTGTTAAATGTCTTCGGTTTGGCCTATATTCTTACCATGAATCGTCTTACAAACGAACAACGCTTGGGAATCATTGTATATACATAATGCGTGTTCTAAAAAATATCGTATTTTCCGAAAAATTGAAAAAATATCCCTAAGGTATATTCTCCCCCCCCCTAAGGTTCCTTAGAACTAAAGAAATTTTTACTGATCCTAATTTTCATGAATTGAAAATAAATAGTTCGTAGTAATTTCTAAACCAACAGTAGGGTAAGTGTACCAGTAGTCGGCACTTTTAGGATTTGCGCTCACCATTCTGAGTGGAACTTTTTAATTATTACAAAGTTAATTTATTCAGAATCGAAATATTGTATAGTTTTTGCAATTATAAATAAAGTTTTAATAACTTTTTATTAAATTTCATAAATTTGTAGTTTTATTAAAACAATGCCTTTTTGCCAGTAGTCGGCACCACTTGCATACTGATTTTTTGTGAGAATAATTAATAATAAAAATAAATTACTTCATTAAAATATAATATTTTTGTTTAGTTAAACTGGTTCGAAGTCTTTATTGTACTTTTCTTAAGAATATGGATTGTTGAGGACCTTCACAGACAAAAATTTAATTTTTATTAGAATAAATCATCTCTTCTTAGCGAAATTGTACACAAAGATGGGTGACAATATATTTGAAGTAAACAAAATACATTTAGTTATAATAGTTTCATTTATTAGGGCTTAAAAATAAAAAGTGCCAACTACTGGGACATGCCGAACTTAGGCACACTTACCCTATATGGAATGTATCGGTCCATACTTTTAAATACATATATGAATTATGAGTTTTCAAACTTCTGACCTCGTAATAATTGTCTCACACTTAGGTCAGGCACTTAAAACTATAGGCCCACTTCCTCTGGTACATTTCCCAAGAATAGTCAATAATTT